TTTGCCCTGCCTACCCGGCTCACTCTTGCCTGCCTGGCTCACCCTTGCCCAACCACCTGGCGTGGGGCTCTGCTCCTGTGTGACCTGGTGTGGGTGACCATGCTGCCCCTCACTCCCTGGGCAGGCCGGGCTGGGGGGGTCCAGCTGCCCGTGGGCCCCCTCTCACATTTGGAGTGTGACTTGGCTTTGCCCTGATGAAGAAGTGCCCTTCTAGTGTGGTGTGCATGGCTTTCCTCTCCCTGTGTTCTGTGAAAGTTGTCTGCTGCTGGGTGAGTTTTGTGTTATGGTTTTATTGCTGTTCCCGCTGAACTTTGCCAGAGCCAGGCCCTGGTTCTCTGACGTCAAAGCTGCTTAACTGTTGGGATTTTATTGCTCTAAATAACGATTTCTAATGATGTGAGCGGCCTGAGGAAAGAACCTGGATTGACTTAGCCTGGAAGAGCTCTCCTTTGAAAGGAGGCCCTGGCCTTACGCCCCTTGCCCGGCCAGCCCTCCACACCCTCCCTGTGGGGATGCGCCATGCAGGGCACAGAGCCTCTGCCCTGAAGCCGAGTCCCCGGCATGAAACCAGGAGCATGGACGGGAAGCCTACAGGAGCCTGCTGGCAGGACAAGCCAAGGCTCCTTTTCCCTCCCATTCGCTTGTTTTCCTCCAAGGACAGTTCCCCAAGTAACTGTCTTTGTCTTTCCTTGTGGTTAAGGGCTTAGGATACTGGCCACTTGACTGGCCAGCAGCAAAGGCAGACGTTGTTACTTGGCCACCCACTTAACACTACCCTGTCCCTCCAGTGTCATTTACTTTCCCTTCTGGAACGTTTGTGCCTAGAGAAAGTCTTGCCCAGAAATGTTCTCAGTGTCAAGGAGCGCCGCAGTGGATTTGCTGGGACGTGTCTGTGTCACCCAGATGATGCCCTCGATAGGAAGCTGGTCGAGCAGGCAGTGGCGAGTAATTTGAGCATCCTCTCGCTCCTGGAATCTTGGTGCAGGGTACGGATAATGTTGAGTTCAAGACAAAATAAGTGGCCAGGCACGGTGGCTCAAACCTGTAATCCTGGTACTTTGGGAGGCCGAGGTGGGCAGATCATTTGAGGTCAGGAGTTCACGACCAGCCTGATTAACACGGTGAAACCCCGTCTCTGCTAAAAATGCAACAATTAGCCAGGCGTGGTGGTGCGCACCTGTCGTCCCAGCTACTTGGGAGGCCGAGGCAGGAGAATCGCTTGAATCTGGGAGGTAAGGTTGCAGGGAGGCAAGGTTGCAGTGAGCCCAGATCGTGCCACTGCCCTGCCGCCTGGGTGACAGAGCAAGACTGTCTCAAAAAAAAAAAAAAAAAAGGAAGTCATCATTTCCCTAGTTGGATGTTGTTTTCCAGATCGGAACTTCCATGTTGTAACTCCAGTCTCTTTTCTCCTAACCTTGCAGGTTCATCTGCAGAAGCCAGCGGACGCCTCCGCTCTCCCTGTGGGTTACCTGGCTCATGAGACCTTGCCGGCAAGGCTCTGTGCTTGAACGTCTGTGACCCAGCCCTGACTGTCCCGGTACTTGTATGTGTTGGTGGGAGTTCGGAGCTCGCTGGAGCTATTGTTTCCGTGGAAATTTTGAGCCATTTCGAATCACTTAAAGGAGTGGACGTTGCCAGCAATGAGCTCCCAAAGCCATCCAGGTAAGGCCTGGTCCTTTCTTCTCTGGGCACACAGCGGGGCTTTCTTTTCCCAAAGTAGACTTTCTTGTGGCTGCAGCTTTCTTTCTGAATTCGAGACTTTTGTTTTTCTTGATAGTGGTCACTGTTGGTTTTTGACAGCACACGGTGCAGAATGGATGGTTTGTTCTTCCTCTTGGTGTAAGAAGAATGATAAAACCGGGGAGGATCTGGAGTCAAGTCTGTGGCCCTGGTTTGCAGGCTGACTTGAGTGGCACACAGGTTTCGTCGCTGCCAGGAGAGAAGTGCTTTTTGACGAGGGTGATGTTTAAAGGTTAGGTTGTGATGTGGAGAGTTGGTTTCTTGCTCAGTGTCTTTGTTGTTTTATGAGGGGTTGTGTGAGGGGTGGGAGTGCTCCTCCGACTGCGTGTCTGGGCTGCCTGGGAAGAAGCTCATGTCCCCATTCAGGTGGTGGCCATGGTTGCTCCTGGTGTTTGAGTGCCTCTGTGAGAGGCTGCGCTCAGCATTTTACATATAATTCTATATGCATTTAGTACAGCCCCAGATCATCTCAGGCCTGGAGGGAAGAAGTAACTTACCTGAGGTCACAGAGCTGGCAGGTGGGGGACCCACGGGATTGGGAGGCAAGCCTGTCCTGCTCTGAGCTTCAGAAGCGTGTCATGGGCCATCCATTAACGACTTCACCCTGTCCATCCTCGGAAAGCCACCGAAGCATGTCCATGGCCCATCCCTTTACAACTTCACACTGTGCATCCTCGGAAAGCCACCGAAGCATGTCATGGCCCATCCCTTTACAACTTCACACTGTGCATCCTTGGAAAGCCACCGAAGCATGTCATGGCCCATCCCTTTACAACTTCACACTGTCCGTCCTCGGAAAGCCACCGAAGCATGTCATGGCCCATCCCTTTACAACTTCACACTGTCCATCCTCGGAAAGTCACCGAAGCATGTCATGGCCCATCCCTTTACAACTTCACACTGTCCGTCCTCGGAAAGCCACCGAAGCATGTCATGGCCCATCCCTTTACAACTTCACACTGTCCATCCTCGGAAAGTCACCGAAGCATGTCATAGGCCATCCCTTTACAACTTCACACTGTCCGTCCTCGGAAAGCCTCCGAAGCATGTCATGGGCCATCCCTTTACGACTTCACACTGTCTGTCCTCGAAAAGTCACAGAAGCATGTCATGGGCCATCCATTTACGACTTCACACTGTCTGTCCTCGGAAAGCCTCCGAAGCATGTCATGGGCCATCCATTAACGACTTCACACTGTCTGTCCTCGGAAAGCCACCGAAGCATGTCATGGCCCATCCCTTTACAACTTCACACTGTCTGTCCTCGGAAAGCCACCGAAGCATGTCATAGGCCATCCCTTTACAACTTCACACTGTCCGTCCTCGGAAAGCCACCGAAGCATGTCATGGGCCATCCCTTTACGACTTCACACTGTGCATCCTCGGAAAGTCACCGAAGCATGTCGTGGCCCATCCATTTACGACTTCACACTGTCTGTGCTCGGAAAACCTCCGAAGCATGTCATGGGCCATCCATTAACGACTTCACACTGTCCGTCCTCAGAAAGTCACCGAGCGTGCGCCATAACGAAACCTTGGGGCCCACCACCGACCTGCCTGAGTGTAGGGCTCCTACACAGCCACTCCCGTGCTGCCCAGCCTCCTGCCACTTCCAGCACACCGTGGCCTTCAAGGGCACTTAGCCATCGACTTCTGTCTTGCGTCCACCTGAGAGAGAAGACGGTGGCCACTGAACAGATGCTTGGACAGGCACCTGAGGCTCTGTTAGCCTTGGCTGTGGGTCCAGCTCCTTAGAGCAGAGGCTCAGGGTCTGGGTCACTCTCTTTGAGATTGCCTGGAACGCTTACACACATCTTTCCCTGGGTGGAATCGGCTTTGTCTGAAAATTCCAGAGGGCAGGATTCCAGGTTTTTTTAGACATGGAAGTTTTATTGAGTTAAATTGTTTATGTATTGACTGATGTAAAGAAATGGTTTATGATGATTCCAAGACAAAATTAAGCGCTGTGGATCAAAGCATCTAAACAGACATCGAGTGGAGCTGGCTCCCTCCCTCCTGTACTGGGCGGCTGTTGGGTGAGAGCGTATCTTTTTTCTGTGTCTAAACATAGTGTTGTGTGTGTGAGCATTTTCATAGAGTATAATTCTATATGCAGGGCCCTGTGTTTTACATTCTGTCCATTTTAATGTGTTATAAGCATCTTTTGGTATCAGTCTGTGTGTAAATATAACTTGCTCTTTTTGATCCCTTGCGAATGGATATTTATGTGGTTGTAGCAGTGTTTATACCAATCCCAAATTGGCATCAAACAATTATTATACATATATTTTGTAAACTTCTAAGTATCCCTACTAGACAAGTTCCAGGAAGTGGAAGCTGGGTCAGCGGGCCCATGCACTTAAAAACAGCATTAGGTTTACTGTCGGATTGTTCCAGAAGCCTTGTTCCAGCTGATCTTCCTAATTCCAGTGTAAGAGGATGCATGTTTTTCATTTGTGCTGTACCAGCACTGGGCAGGTTCAGTCTCTTTCATTTTTGTCAGTGTGCGAGGGGAAAATTACTGTTTGAGTTCACTTGATTGTTTTAATGGGGGTGCATATTTTTGTATGACTTGGTGTACACATAATCATAATTTGTACATGCTCTGCAGGCATTTGAAGAGAAAGTATGCTCTTATGATTTTGTTTTAGCCTAAAAACAGCTATATGTATATATCAATATTGTATTTAAAGTTCTTGGCTGGGCACGGTGGCCCACACCTGTAATCCCAGCACTCTGGGAGGTCAAGGTGGGCGGATCACGAGGTCAAGAGATCGAGACCATCCTGGCTAACATGGTGAAACCCCGTCTCTACTAAAAATACAAAAATTAGCTGGGCGTGCCTGTAGTCCCAGCTACCCAGGAGGCTGAGGCAGGAGAATTGCTTGAACCCGGGAGGCAGAGGTTGCAGCGAGCCAAGATGGCACCACTGTACTCCAGCCTGGAGACAGAGCGAGACTCCGTCTCAAAAAAAAAAAGTTCTCTCATTTATATATATTTTATTTATATGTAGGAGGATATGTATGCTTTATATGTTATTTTATTTATATATTAACTCGTTATTTAAATCAGTATAGCTTTACTTATTTTTTTCTGTCTGTTCGATTTCTTGGAAAAGTGTGTTTTTCTACTGTGATTATAGTTTTGTAATATTCTTTTTACATTAATAACCATTTTTTGCTTTATATAGTTCAATGTTTTCTTCAATGCTTAAAAATTAATGACTGTTCTTTTGGTAGATCAGCTCTCTTATCAAAATACAATATATTTCTCTTTGTTTAATGTTTCTTTGACCAAGAGCTTACAGTGTATCATGAGGTATTTCTACCCTTGGTTTCTTTTGGCTAACAAATATTTCTCCATCCACTTGTCTCTAACCTTTTCAGGCTGTGTTCTTTGAGGCTCAGCTCTGGAAACCGCAGGGTGCTGGGTTTGGCCTTTTCTGTGGGAATTTCAGCCGCTGCAGTTCAGTTTGATCACCGGCCTGTCCGGGCCTGTCCTGCCCCTGTGAGTTGGGTTGTATGCACCTCGTTGCCACCCACGACCTCTCCATTCTCTGTCTCAGTGGGTTGGAGGCTGAAGACCGGCCGCGCTGGCGAGGGCAGGGCTGCCCCTCCGCCCAGCCCATTCTCTGCTCTCCGTCTGTGGGGAGGGTGCAGCTGGGGTGGTTTGCCTGGGGCCTGAAGTCCGCTGGCTGCCTCCTCTGCCCTGTCCACTATCATCTTTCCCTGACGTGTCTGCCCTTCCTCCCATAGGACCCTGGGCGGCAGGACCCCTTGTGCCAAAACCTGCGCGTGCCACCACACGCACACACTGGCTGGTGGCGCAGCGACCTGTGTCCACGTCTCGGGCCGGGGATGGGGCTTGCGCGGATCTGTGTCCCCGCTCCCATGCGAGGCCCACTTGCTGGTGTGGCTTCCCCGGCAGCTCCATCCCCAGAGCACTCTAGTTTTGGGAAGTTCCTCTGCGTTTCTTGTCAGCTGATGCACCTGTTCGTCCACTGCCAGGCATTGTTGGAAGTGCTTTCCAATCTTGTCTTTCATCATTTTAGTGGGTTTTGGGAAGAAGAGAAATCATTAATACTGAAGGATTCAGTCAGCGGGAAATTTCTAGGTGTGTCGGAGCACAGCCACGGAACCGCTGTTCCTTTTCCTTGAGCCAAGGAGCCGGGTCGTGGGCTGCCGTGCCATCACCGGGTAACGCGGTGCTCGGGGCCTGCGTGGCCGTACCTCCCCTCCCTCCATGCGTCTCTTGTGCCGTCCTCTGCTGGCTGGCCCTGTCTTTTGCCCTGCCTACCCGGCTCACTCTTGCCTGCCTGGCTCACCCTTGCCCAACCACCTGGCGTGGGGCTCTGCTCCTGTGTGACCTGGTGTGGGTGACCATGCTGCCCCTCACTCCCTGGGCAGGCCGGGCTGGGGGGGTCCAGCTGCCCGTGGGCCCCCTCTCACATTTGGAGTGTGACTTGGCTTTGCCCTGATGAAGAAGTGCCCTTCTAGTGTGGTGTGCATGGCTTTCCTCTCCCTGTGTTCTGTGAAAGTTGTCTGCTGCTGGGTGAGTTTTGTGTTATGGTTTTATTGCTGTTCCCGCTGAACTTTGCCAGAGCCAGGCCCTGGTTCTCTGACGTCAAAGCTGCTTAACTGTTGGGATTTTATTGCTCTAAATAACGATTTCTAATGATGTGAGCGGCCTGAGGAAAGAACCTGGATTGACTTAGCCTGGAAGAGCTCTCCTTTGAAAGGAGGCCCTGGCCTTACGCCCCTTGCCCGGCCAGCCCTCCACACCCTCCCTGTGGGGATGCGCCATGCAGGGCACAGAGCCTCTGCCCTGAAGCCGAGTCCCCGGCATGAAACCAGGAGCATGGACGGGAAGCCTACAGGAGCCTGCTGGCAGGACAAGCCAAGGCTCCTTTTCCCTCCCATTCGCTTGTTTTCCTCCAAGGACAGTTCCCCAAGTAACTGTCTTTGTCTTTCCTTGTGGTTAAGGGCTTAGGATACTGGCCACTTGACTGGCCAGCAGCAAAGGCAGACGTTGTTACTTGGCCACCCACTTAACACTACCCTGTCCCTCCAGTGTCATTTACTTTCCCTTCTGGAACGTTTGTGCCTAGAGAAAGTCTTGCCCAGAAATGTTCTCAGTGTCAAGGAGCGCCGCAGTGGATTTGCTGGGACGTGTCTGTGTCACCCAGATGATGCCCTCGATAGGAAGCTGGTCGAGCAGGCAGTGGCGAGTAATTTGAGCATCCTCTCGCTCCTGGAATCTTGGTGCAGGGTACGGATAATGTTGAGTTCAAGACAAAATAAGTGGCCAGGCACGGTGGCTCAAACCTGTAATCCTGGTACTTTGGGAGGCCGAGGTGGGCAGATCATTTGAGGTCAGGAGTTCACGACCAGCCTGATTAACACGGTGAAACCCCGTCTCTGCTAAAAATGCAACAATTAGCCAGGCGTGGTGGTGCGCACCTGTCGTCCCAGCTACTTGGGAGGCCGAGGCAGGAGAATCGCTTGAATCTGGGAGGTAAGGTTGCAGGGAGGCAAGGTTGCAGTGAGCTGAGATTGTGCCACTGCACTGTAGCCTGGCTGACAGAGCAAGACTCTGTCTCAAAAAAAATAAAAAATAAAAAATAATAAAGAAAAGGATGTTGTGGGAAACTTGTGTAATTTAAGATCAGTGTTTTAATTTGGGCCATTCTATGATTTCTTAATATTCTGTTCAGTCTGAACTACCCCATCTACACAAAAGCAGCTAAAAAGTCTTTGTCAACAATAACTTGGTGGTTAGTGAGTTCCTGGTAATCCAGTTGCTTCAAACCACTGTTAAATGTTAATCCTGTGAGTCCCAGGGAGAAGGCTCTCGCTCTGGGGGTGCTTCCAGTCCTCATGTTCTGCTCTAACTTTATTTGATCTTGAATCTGTTTATTTTAACCATTGTGGCTGCCAATATTTTAATATAATAATTTTAATATATATAAAATAATATCAATTTTAATATAGAAATGATCTCATAAAGATGCATTTTTATGGCATTTAATGCTCTGCAGTGGTTGAATGTTTCAGGAATACTGCAAAGAGTGTGTGTGTGTGTGTGTGTTAGGGTGTGTGTGTGTTTTGGACAGGTTATGTGTGTGTGTTTTAGACAGGGTGTGTATGAGATAGGATGTGTGTGTGTTAGGGTGTGTGTGTTTTAGATAGGGTGTGTGTGTTAGGATGTGTGTGAGACAGTGTGTTAGGGTGTGTGTGTGTGTGTTTTAGACAGGGTGTGTGTTTTACGCACTGTGTGTGTATGTTTTAGGATGTGTGTGTGTTTTAGGGTGTGTCTGGTGGTTTTAGACAGGCTGTTTGTGTGTGTGTTAGGGCGTGTGTTTAGACGGTGTATGTGTCAGGGTATGTGTGTGTTTTAGAGTGTGTGTGTGAGGGTATGTGTGTGTTAGGGTGTGTGTGTTTTAGATGGGTGTGTGTGTTGTGTGTGTGTGCATGCGTGTGTGTGTTAGGG